GGGCTTTTCTTTCCTTGCCTAATGCCTCAGGAAAGCAAGCTACACCTAGGTGGTGCTCCCAGGACCTAGAGTGAGGACTGCCCTCAGGTTTGTTAATCAAGGGCTAGCTAATCTGCTAAATTATCTGCTTGTTCTCCCCCCCACCTCTGCAGTTGCAGGTAAATTTAGCTTTGGGGAATCTTGAAAGGTTACAGTTCTTTTTTCTTTTTTTTTTTTTTTTCCAGAAAGAGGGAGAGGGAGAGGGAGAGATAGAAACATCAATGATGAGAGAATCATTGATCGGCTGCCTCCTGCAAGCCTCCCTACTGGAATCAAGTCCACAACCTAGGCATGTGCCCTGACCAGGAATCAAACCGTGACCTCCTGGTTCATAGGTTGTGCTCAACCACTGAGCCACATTGGCCAGGCAAAAGGTCACAGTTCTAAAAGTGAAAATTCTCTTACCAGGGCCATAAAGGGCATGAGGATGGGTTGTCCACTGTAGCTATATAGCAGTGTAAGAGCCAGACCAGGGAGTGCAGGTACCACTGCTGCCTGCCAGGGCATCTTTAGGAAGCACTTGAGTGTGATGATCTTGCCCTGAATCTCAGGCATCTTACTCTTATTCTGCCAAAGGGAATTCCTGTGCTGATCGTGGGGCATCACATCCTGTATGGGAAAATCATCCACCTGGAGAAACCTTTTGCGGTCCTTGTCAAACACACTTCTCCGGAGCAGGACTGTGATGAGCGTGGCTGTAAGACTGGCACCCGGTACCTGGTGACAGCACTCATCAAAAACAAGATTCTTTTCAAAACTCGCCCCAAGCCCATCATCACCAACGTACCCAAGAAAGTATGAAAGAACCCCGGATTTTCCCTAGAGAGCGGCCAACTCCTTGGACTCGTGCTCCACTGCCACCTCGAGGACGGATGGACAGTTCCCTGGGACCACAGGGGGGTCAGGGTCCTGCTCTAAACACTGGCCACCCACTGGGCATGGCCTCAGATTCCTTTCTTATGGCATCTGGTTCTCTTGGTGGAAATCTGGCCCCGTTTCCAAGGAACCATTCTTCTTTTCCAGCTTCATCAGGCTCATTGGCTTCAAATCCAGCACCTTTCCCTTCTGGTGCTCGTGACTCAAACATGGCTCCTTTTCCAAGAGGAATGAATCCCACTGCCGCAGGTGGAGTTTCTTTCTCGAGGCCCGGTGGCCTCTTGGGCCCAGGGCCAGGGCCAGCTCTAAACCCTCGAGCAGGGTCTCTTCCAGGCCCAGGGCCTCTGTCTAACCCAAGGTCAGGGGGTCTCCCAGGGCCGGGTCCTATGCCCAACTCAAGGGCAGGTGGCCTCCTGGGAACAGGTCCTGACTCCAGAAGTGGGGGCCCCATGGGCCCTGGATCTGGACCCAACCTGAGAACGGGTGTCCTCTTGACTCCTGGGAATGGCCCTCCCAATGCTAGGCCCATGGGCCTGGGCCCTGGACCAAGTCCCAATCTGAGATCGGGCTTCATGGGTACAAACCCTGCCCCGAGGTCAGGTATGTTTCCAGGCCCCGGCCTTGGGCCCAACCCAAGAGCGAGTGGTTTGGGCCCAGGCCTTGGGCCCAACCCAAGGGCTGGTGGCCTGGGCCCAAGCCCTAACATGGACACCAGAGCAGGTGGCCTCTTGGGCACAGGATCTGGTCTTAACTTAAGAATGTCTGGACCTCAAAACCTAGATCTTGCCCCCATTCTAAGAGCAGCAGGTCTTTTAGGAGCAAATTCCGCTTCTTTCTCACAGGCTTCTGGAAACATGGGCACAAGCCCATCTTCCATGGCAAGAGTACCTGGCCCCATAGGCCCCAACTTGGGTCCTGGCTCTCGGGGAATTGGCCTTCCAGGGCCAAATCCATCTCCCATGTCGAGGGGTTCTGGCCCCATAGGCCCTAATTCAGCTCATTTTTCAAGGCCAGCTGGTCCCATGGGGGTAAATACTAATCCCTTTCCAAGGGGGACAGGTTCGGGGGCACTGAACCCAGCTGCCTTTTCTCAGTCTTCTGGAACATTGGCTTCAAACCCACCTACCTTTCAGAGGTCTGCTGGCTTCCAGAGTTCAAATCCAGCAGTTTTCCCAAGAGCCTCTGGGCCACTAGGACCCAACCCAGCTAATTTCCCAAGAGCCCCTGGCTTACAGGGCCCAAGTCCAGCTACCTTCCCAAGGTCTACTGGCCCATTAGGCTCTGGTCAGGTGACTTTCCCCAGGTCAGCTTCTGGGCCTTTGGGCTCTTCTCCAGCAGGCCCTGTGGGTATCAACCCAGCTCCTTTTGCAAGGCCAACTGGGACCCTGGGTCTAAACCCAGCTTCCTTTCCAAGGATGAATGGTCCTATAATGAAGACTGTGGTCCCATTTCCTAGAGTGGGTAGTCTCCCTGGCACAAACCCAGCTGCTTTCCCCAGACCAGGAGGTCCAATGGCTGCAATGTACCCAAATGGAATGTTACCCCCTTAAACAGCATTTCCTCTCTAGGACCACCTTGGTTTCCACGCATCGTGGTTCTGGGCAGAGGCTGTGTTTTAGGTAAAAGGGTAGTCATGGAGCTGGGGCTCAAGTTCAAATGAGTCATCTTTTTTCAAACTCTGCTTCTTTCTTGATTAAAGGTGAAATGTTATTTGTGGGACATGGATTGCGGCAGGTGGGAATGATCCCAGCCTTGAGAGAGAGGATCTCTAGCCTTCCAGAAGCCTGCTGTGCTTTTGTCCCACAGCTTTCTGCCCCTTGTTTCTTGCTAGTTTCTTGAATTGTTCTTGTGGACTTTTCCTCAGGGATACATTGACCTGCAGGTCCCAATTCATATGTAGTTCCCTGCTCACCACTGGAGAATCGCTCACTGCTCTCTAGAAATGTTGCATTGGTGAATGGACCATGCTTCAGCAGCTTGGACCTGTCATCCTCTACTGCCATACCTTTCCCTGGGGGCTTGACACAGAACAGGGAGGTGGGCAGCCACTTTAAAGACCCACCAGCTACAATTTCCACTTGACTGGCAGGTCTTGGAGTTTCCTTCTCTGGGACTTAGAGGAGGCCAGAATCAAGGCTCCACGGTTCATCCAACTCCCTCTCCACTGGTACTCCCAATCAAAGAACCTCAAAATTTAAACTGATGTGGATGGGATAGCGGGAGGCGGGTGGGAGGGGTGGGGGGTTGAAGGGAAGAAATCACTGTGCTTTGTTCAACCTGATGTGAAAGGATGGTTGGTGTTTTTCCTGCGTTGTATCTTTTCTTACTGTTTCTTTAATAAATGGGATGAGAGGGCTGCTGGTGTCACTCCGTTTTGTTACCTGTTCCACAGGGAAGGAAGTTAACCCACTGCTTTTCATGGTTTCAGCTTGGCCACAGTCCTGCATTATCTGACAGATAAAATACTTTCACTCAAGGAAGAAGCAAGCTTGATTTTTAGCCTTAGCTTGCTCTTCTGCCAGTAATTTCACCAAAGACCCTACCCACCCTCTTCAATAAAAGTGAAGCCACCATAGGCGTACAGTTATCATCAAGGTAGGCTTACTGTATTCCCAGGTCCAGAAGCAGCTGTGACAGCTTGTCCTGCTTCTCAGTGACACTCGAATTACTCCAACTGTATTTCTAGTTCAAGTGCAACTTTTGAAAGTGGAATAGAGTCAGCTTTCATTAAGTACAAAAAGGGAGGAAGTAGCTCAGAGACAGCAGTATGAGAGAATCTTTATTTTGACAAATATGTGCAGTATAAAAGCTGACCTGAAAAGTTAAAAAAAAGGTAAAAATAAATATGTTTACAAATTATTGTAGAAACAATACAAAAAAGTCAGTTAAAATTCTCAATGAGGAAAAACCAAAATGTGTCCAATTGTATAAAGGCTCTTCCCTTGCAAGAAACGGGGATAAAGCTGAAGACCCAGTTTGGTTTCACTGCTGAAAAATGTACAAAATAACTTAGAAAAACCAGTCGAGGTCAAACGTTGTGAGCCCACTACTTTTGATACGAGGAAAGTTGATAACAGTGTAAGGCAGAGCTGATGGTAGGACAGCCAAGAGCTTGCCATCTGGGAGCCCATCGTATGTTACCCTTCGAGGGAAAGCTGAAGAAAAACGGCCCTTAGTGAAGTCTGAGCTCTGCAGTTGGCTGACCGGATTTCCTCCATTGTAGTGCTCAAAATAGTTTACTTCTTGGCCAGCAAAAACACGGAAGAGCCTGGAACAAGTGCCTTTGGCAAATGGCTGCTGCCTCTTCTAAGAGCCTTCATGGATTGGGCCCAACATCACCCAGCAGTCTTATCAGAAACTTGAGGTCTGTGTGATGCAGCCGTGTTGGCTGCACTTGGAAAACCCTTGAGTTCATGGGAGTTGAAGGAAAGCACCAGGGTTTGCCAATCTGTGGCTCAGAGCACACTGTTCCTTTGTAGGAAGCACCTGGGTACGCTAGAGGCTTGCCCCTCCACTCCTCTCTACCTTAGTGCTCATTCTGAGGGGTTAGTTGGACCCTCGGAGAATGGATGTTTGGAGACAGCGCACACGAGCAAGCAACCCCTAAGTCAGAGGCTTAGTCAAGATCCCAGGTTTCAAACCCAAGAGCTGAGAATAGTCTGGACTGCCAAGCTCTAGAAAATGGCTTTCCCTCATTTCCCACCAAAAGTAGAAGGAATGAGAAAGCAAGAACCTTAGGATTTAGGAATCAATTCCATCTCCTAGTTTGGTTTCTGGAAAGAAGCAAATGCAGGAGTGACTATCCACAGCTTGGCTGTAAGAATTCCCTGGAGAAGCCACTGAGGAGAATGGACAGTCTCAAAGATGACGAGCTTGGATTTGAAGGTTCACTTAGGGAAACTGAAAAGCTTTCCATCAGAGACAATTGTCAAGAATTGTAGCCTGGCCCTGGCTGGCTTGGCTCAGAGGATAGAGCGTCGGCCTTCCAACTGAAGGGTCCCAGGTTCAATTCCAGTCAAGGGCACATGCCCTGGTTGTGGGCTCCATCCCAGTAGGGGGCCTAGAGGAGGCAGCCGATTAATGATTCTCTCTCATCATTGATGTTTCTATCTCTCCCTCTCCCTTCCTTTCTAAAATTTAATATATTTCTTAAAAAATATATTTAAAAAAAAAAGAATTGTAGCCTGAAAGTCATGCATGCTACCCAGCTGCCAATGATCGTCCCAAGCAGTTCCAAGATGGTAGCCAATTTGGTCAGAGGCTCCTAGTAGGATTCCCCCATGTGCTGAGGGCAGGCTTGCCTGTTACTGAGGAGCCTGTGAGAGTCCAGGCGCTGACTCACTTGCCACCTTGAGAAACTTACCTGATGAGGAGGAGGGCAAAGAGGTGACTACATCACTTGAAATCAGTGAGGTGGCCATCTTAGGACTCAGCTGAATTTAAGAGGACTTCAGGAGTACACAGGTTGAAATACTGAGCCCTCACTTCCTTTCTTAGTATGTTGGGGTTTAATCTCCCTGGTAGATGACTGAAACATTTTCTCTCCTCAGCAGACAAGTTCATCTAAATGTCTAGGCAGTTTCCAGGTGGAATCTATATAGGCCTCCATATAGCCCATAGCCTTGAGCACCACTACCAACCTTTGTTCCTCCTGGCAAGTTTTCCCTTTTAACATTCACATTTATGTACACTTAAAGCAGTTCAATGCTAACTCCCTGCTAGTTTGGCTCATCCTTGAGATGTGGAATGGGGTACACATAATAAAGCACCATTCCTGTACCCTGTTTTCTGATGCCCAGAGATCAGGCTTCTGGGCCTTGTATCTCAGGCACAATCTTATTGCATTGATAACTCAATGGAGGGGGGAGACATTACTAGCTGGCCCAGATCTCAAATTCTCTCCCCACCTCTGGTTGTGTTCAAATGGGCTAAGAGAACCCCTTCCCGCAGCTGGCTTTGCTCACTTACCTATCAGAAGTTGCTACTGATTGGAACTTATTGTTTGATTTAACACACTTCTGAGTTCCCTCTGGATCCTGGGGCAGGAGTGGAATCTTTCCCAGAGACCACCATGTAGCAGACAGGCAGCCTGAAAACATGTCTCCTCTACCACCCTGAGCTGGAATTGGTGTTGCCTTCCCTAAGCAAAACAGCCCAGGGCCATACTACAGTCACCTTTCTTTGCACTTCAGATTTGTCCTTTGGACCCTTAAGAAACTAAAACAGCATTCCCTCCTCCCTCCCACCCCATCTTTCTCTTCCCCATCTTTTCTCTTCCATTCCCCTTCCCTCCCTTACCCATTGCACTTTTCCGGCTCTGCTTGAGGGTTATGTCACACCTCAGCAAAAGTTAAGCTATACTGCTCTGGCTTCTTCCCACATCGCCGGGCAATAATGGCCAGATACAACATGAGAAGGGCCACCCAGTAGCAGCCATACAGGATGGCCCCAGAGACAAGGAAGGCTAGCTCCGTCTCACTAAACAGATCCTGGCAATAAGCTGTGTACGCCAGTCCTCCCAGAAGGACTGCCACCCAGATGGACACAGGGATGAGGCCAATGAAGTTCACCACAATGGTTTTTCGGCCAGAGGTGCCCCAGCCGGATTTGTTGATGGTAGCAATGGCAAAGATCTTGGCTGGCAGGAGGCTGGACATATAGAGAAGGGAGTACAGGGACATGAAGATCATCTCTGCATTGCCCCGAAGGAAGCAGGCATAGGTAGCCTTGATAATGCCCACCAGCTGCACCGTCAGCAGGAAGAGGAGAATGTTCCAGATGCGGCCACGGTAGAAAAGCTGTATGACTGTGGCTATGAGGAAGAAGGGGAAGAAACCTGTGACCACTGATTCGTAGGTCATCCAGAGGTGGTGCTTATGGAACCACAGAGAGTTGTAGAGCCACTCCCGGAAGTAAGACTTGCTCCAGCGGGTTTGCTGGTTGAGCCAGCGGAGGTACTTGGTGGGGGTTTCTGTGAGGCACTTGGAGCGCGCTGTATACTTAGTCCTGTAGCCCAGGCTCAGGACTCGGTTGGTGAGGTGCCGGTCATCCCCAAAGCTGCACTTGCTGCCTAGGAACTTCTGATGGTACCAATCTTCCAGGAATTGCTGGAGGAGGCTGTTGCGGTACATGCCCAATGGCCCACTAATACACTGCACACAGCCAAAGTAGGACTGGCAGGCCCGCTCCACGTTGAAGGCCATCCAGTACCGCACACTGCTCAGGAAGGAGATCCATGAATCATACTTGTTGAGGATCTGTAAGGGAACCATAGATGCTGGGCCTCCGCACCTGAGACCATGAGACCCAGGAGACACACACCAGAGACCAGGAGGCCTCCCTACCCTGAGTTCCTAGCCTATTGCTCATATTCCTGGCCATCCGTCCCAGCCCAGCCATGGCTGGGAAACCCGAGGCTCAGGGGAGCCAACCGCACCCTCTCTCCCCAGCACTAGCCCAACTCGCCACTGTGTCGTCTGCATGGATTGTCCCAGTGAAGTTACTCTAGCAGTCAAAGCCACCTTCAGTCCCAGGGGCAGCCTGTGGCAGCGACAAAGAAAAGGCCTTGAGAAAGATGCAGAGCAACACCCAGGCACCTGGCCTGACCCTTCAGTTGGAAAGTTTGTTGGGAAGGGCTGGTATGTCACCAGCAGTACCCTCTGGAAGAAGCTATT